AAGATAACGACCAGTCAAGAGTCAATGATTGGCTTAAAATCCCTGTTGACCAGTCACTTTATATCCTCATCAGTCATCGCACACAAATTCACCTTCATACAAATAATGTGATTGTGAACGTCGTCAGTGTTTAAAACGTGAAACAATACATATGAGATGTCATGGAGATGTCCAATTTGAATGAGGCAGTACTTGCACTTCTTGCCAGTTTCTACCTTCTGGATTTTGATTATCCGCGGATGCAGGAAATTGGTTTGAATGTTTTTCAGCATTAGATTTTTAAGACACAAATGTGCCACAAGACATTGCCAATTTGTTTAAGTCGACGATGACAAGCTACCAGAGTTTCAAAGTTGATATGCAATAAGCTGGTACTAATACAGTATGTACTGTATGATGAATATCATGTGGTATAGAAGTTGAACTTTTATATACAGTATAAACTATTGCATGCAAGGTGCCATGTATTCTTTATAATTGCTTCCAGTCTATAATCGATATATCATTACTATAACTTGTTGGTCCTTATAAAAAAAATAATATACCTCTTCCTTAAACTAAGAAATTTTAAAGAGAAAATATTCCTAAAATAAGAAATTCAGTTTTCTTATTTTAAGAAATATCTCATGATTTTCTTAAGATATTCTTAAGAAAAAAATTCAAAAGAAAATTAGTAAGAAAATTTTCTTACCAGTCTCCCAAGAAAATTTAAGAAATTTTAAAGAATAAAATATTTATAAAATAAGAAATTGGTGTTACTATTTTAAGAAAATTCTCATGATTTTCTTAAGAAAAAAATTCTTAAGAAAATTAGTAAGAAAATTTTCTTACCAGTCTCCCAAGAAAATTTGGACTTATTTTAAGAAAATTTTCTTAAAATAAGTTTTTTTTCTTCTTAAAATAGGAAAGTGAGTTTTTGTTGTGATAGTTGTCCAGAAACCATCCACACAAAGCTTCTATATACTAACTGTGTTCCTTTTGAATCTACAAATTGATAAATATTAAGAATTTTTAATATACTCTACTTGTGAACACATAGGGTAAATATTAGACTTGGATCAAGCTCATCTCTATATACAGTCCGAGTCGCGAAGCGACGAGATCCAGCGCGCCGCAAAGCGGCGCGCGACGTGCAACAAAGGAGGGAGAGACGGTATTTGCGAGTTATTGCACCTCGCGCTCTCCCTCGGACTCTATTGAGAGACGGACTGGATCCAAGTCTAAGTAAATATATAATAATTCAATAATTGTACAGTATCAGTATGTACCGTATATACTCTTAACCGTACCGCACGCGTGTGTTCACTGACCGGGTACGGTAAAGTGTTTCATAATTTCAATATGTTAATAAATAAAACTTTATTTAACTAATTTCTGTGCTTGTTTGACGGTATTCCTCCTTCTTTCTTGTTCGTAATTTCGTGACTGCTGAACGGATAGCCCATGAATCTGTTAAAACCGGGTTGCACGACTTCAGCCTCTTGCATGGCAATGCCACTCCTCAATTTCCATACATCATCGACAATTTTTAGCAAATTTTATTACTTTATTTTACAACTTTATTGGTGCCATAAATTACTTTAAAATAATTAGTTCAATAGCAACTGGCCCAAAAGGGAAGGTGCGAACTAGGCTATTGAAGTCCCATGCAAGGCACCTCCCTTCTCTAATAAGTAATAATAGATATTTATAAATACATATATATATATATATATATATATATATATATATATATATATATATATATATATATATATATATATATATATATATATATATATATATATATATATATATTGGTTGTTAAGTTGAGATAACACAAGTTGAGAGATATAGAAAAATGTTTGTGGTCTGACAACTGAAGATTTAACCATTTATTTTGTTTTTGCACTAACGTTTTCACTTTATTCAAAGTTCTTCAGGTGCATATTACATATGAATGGCTTAGTGGTTTAGTACCGGTATTTATATCTTACATGCGTTTTATATCTTACATGCGTTTTGTTATTGTGTAATAACAAAACGTATGTAAGATATAAATACCGGTACTAAACCACTAAACCATTCATATGTAATATGCACCTGAAGAACTTTGAATAAAGTGAAAACGTTAGTGCAAAAACAAAATGAATGGTTAAATCTTCAGTTGTCAGACCAGAAATATATATATATATATATATATATATATATATATATATATATATATATATATATATATTTGCGGTTTTCAAAAACTTTTGCCGTCAAAATTTGGAAATTTCATTGCCTTATTACTCTGCGAAAACAAGATCAATTTTAAATTTGTTTGCTATTTTCTTAAGCTACGCTTCAAGAAGATTCTAATAATGTAAACACTCACTTTCTGACTGTGTCATCCTTAATCAACAATATGTCATACAACAAATTATGTCATCTGACAACATTAACTTTTTTCCACTTAAATTGTCAGAGATATATAATCAAAATTAATATATGAATTTGAACAGAAAAAAAATCGATGGAATGCATGCGGCGATTCAGGAAATAATATCGTGAGTAGTAATTTATGAGTTGAGAAATGTGGCTGATTAGTGTAGATCTAGGTTGTTAAGTTGAACACAAGTTGAGAGATATAGAAAAATGTTTCTGGTCTGACAACTGAAGATTTAACTATTCATTTTGTTTTTGCACTAACGTTTTCACTTTATTCAAAGTTCTTCAGGTGCATATTACATATGAATGGTTTAGTGGTTTAGTACCGGTATTTATATCTTACATGCGTTTTATATCTTACATGCGTTTTGTTATTGTGTAATAACAAAACGCATGTAAGATATAAATACCGGTACTAAACCACTAAACAATTCATATGTAATATGCACCTGAAGAACTTTGAATAAAGTGAAAACGTTAGTGGAAAAACAAAATGAATGGTTAAATCTCCAGTTGTCAGACCAGAAACATTTATATATATATATATATATATATATATATATATATATATATATATATATATATATATATATATATATATATATATATATATATATATATATATATATATATATAGTCTACGCTTCAAGAAGATTCTAATAATGTAAACACTCACTTTCTGACCGTGTCATCCTTAATCAACAATATGTCATACAACAAATTATGTCATCTGACAACATTAACTTTTTTCCACTTAAATTGTCAGAGATATATAATCAAAATTAATATATGAATTTGAACAGAAAAAAAAATCAATGGAATGCATGCGGCGAATCAGGAAATACCATCGTGAGTAGTAATTTATGAGTTGAGAAATGTGCATGGCTGATTAGTGTAGATCTAGATTTACTGAAACGAATTGCATACTCTAGTATAGAATTGCCTTCTCCCCATTTACCTTTAACTGTTAGACATTAAGTTTACATGTCGTAAAAATCAAGGAAGATAAAAGGTACGTTAATTAAACATCGGTACGAGATTATAATAAGCACTCTTCAACAATTGGGAAAACTGATGCAACTTAATCAAACAACATCAGTATATAGTCAATATTATAGTGCAGTGACATTGCCACGCCGATAGATACTGTCTTTTTAAATTTACAATTTGGATTAAAATTTTGAATAAAAAAATGATTAAAAGTATTATTGACTACACATCGTAGGGATCATTAACTGTCACAAGCATTATTACAGGTTAACATATGTTCACACGACTTGTGTCCTTTGTTAAAATCATTTAAACACTGAATAAAAGACATTAACAACTAAGTTCACTGTTACAGTTGCAAAAAAATATTGTTTGACAATTTGAAGCAATACTCCCTACATTCCAATGCAGATATATGTTTTACAACTATAAATAATTTTGAATTAAAATTTGTATTCGGATAAAAATGATTTAAAACAAATTATTGCACATGGTACGGATGATTAATCATTAGAAGCGTTTATTGCAGGTCAAACCTTATATGTTCACATGATTTGTTTGATTTAATAATAAAGGACGTTCACAACTCAATACAATTGCACATTAATTTTGAAAAATATATCATTTTACATGTTGAGGCAATATTTCCATTCCAATGTAAATACAAGTTGTACAATTTATGATACACGCCCCAAAAGGTGCATTCCAGCTATATCCCACAATAAGTTTATTTTTTAAAGTTACATGCATGCGTGTATTGCTTGACGATAAGCAGATATATTTTTGTGAAACACAAGTTTGACAGAAAAATTACTCAAGATTCTTGTATTGTAAGAGAACAATGATCCAACTGTCAAGTCCGGCGTTACTTTGCTTTGGAAATCAAGTATAGGCACTTTCAAAGCTGCAACACTGTAGAAGGCCAAAGCACTTTCAAAATTAATATGTTTCACTTTTCAAAAGTGATAGCTTTGGTTACGTTAATGGCAGTGACCCGCTTAGAAAGGAGAAATATATTTCAAACTTGCAAGCAATGATACAGGGCAGTATACAGTAGCGAGCTGAGCATGCAAGTATTAGTTTTTATTATAGTACTATAGCATGCAGCCACTAATTTACCTTATAAAATAACATGTGTATAACCTGTGCGGCTGTGCTCTGATTGATCGAAACCCGTGTTTGGATCAGGCCATCCAAACACGGAAGACTATGCTGTTGTTATTTTATAAAACAATTACTTTATGGTTTCCGTGTTTGGATGGCCTGATCTAAACAGGCGGATGTGTTGCTCGAGTTAAGGAAAGCGCGCAAAATCACTCGTCTTCGTCTCGTGTTCGCGCGCTTTTCTTAACTCTCGCAACATTCCAGCGTGTTTGGGTCAGGCTATCCAAACACGGAAACCATAAAGTAATTGTATAAAACAAAGAACGGAAACCATATGCGTTCTGCATTATGAAAATTATTGCCACCGCTTACGCGTCCCTGCCTTAAGTTAGGGGTTTTAGGGATGGAGAGCTGACCGTGTCATCCTTAACCAACAATATGTCATACAATAAATTATGTCATCTGACAACATTAACTTTTTTCCACTTAAATTGTCAGAGATATATAATCCAAATTAATATATGAACTTGAACAGAAAAAAAAATCGATGGAATGCATGCGGCGATTCAGGAAATACCATCGTGAGTAGTAATTTATGAGTTGAGAAATGTGGCTGATTAGTGTAGATTTACTGAAACGAATTGCATACTCTAGTATAGAATTGCCTTCTCCCCATTTACCTTTAACTGTTAGACATTAAGTTTACATGTCGTAAAAATCAAGGAAGATAAAAAGTACGTTAATTAAACATCGGTACGAGATTATAATAAGCACTCTTCAACAATTAGGAAAACTGATGCAAATTAATCAAACAACATCAGTATACATTTCGCCACACTGATTAACATATTTTTGTAAAAAGTCACAGATATAAGCATTGCAGGGATCATTGATTAACTATGTATTAAGAGTGATTATGCAAGTTAACATTAAAGCAGATCAAATAACTATCTTCCGAAGGCCATGCACGAAGGCCTCAGGGTCAGTTTGCCACGTTAATATTATAGTGCAGTGACATTGCCACGCCGATAGATACTGTCTTTTTAAATTTAATTACAATTTGGATTAAAATTTTTGGTAAAAAAATTATTAAAAGTATTACTGACTACACATCGTAGGGATCATTAACTGTCACAAGCATTATTACAGGTCAATATAATGTTCACACGACTTGTGTCCTTTGTTAAAATAATTTAAACACTGAATAAAAGACATTAACAACTAAGTTCACTGTTACAGTTGCAAAAAAATATTGTTTGTCAATTTGAAGCAATACTCCATACATTCCAATGTAGATATATGTTTTACAACTATAAATAATTTTGAATTAAAATTGGTATTCGGATAAAAATGATTTAAAACAAATTATTGCACATGGTACGGATGATTAATCATTAGAAGCGTTTATTGCAGGCCAAACCTTATATGTTCACATGATTTGTTCGATTTAACCATAATCAATTCCCAATCAATTCCATGCAACATTTGAGAAACAAATTCTTTTACATTTTGAAGCATGCAATGTTCCCATTTGCAGTCTATAAGTTGGACAATTATAAAATGCCACTGAAAATTTGTAAACAAAGAAATATCCTGCAGATTATTAATTATTGATTAATGTGTATTCAAGTAATTTTTTTTTAAATCGACAAGAAAATACGTTATATCGACCCCAAACTCGCAGACGAAATGAGAAAAAAAATCATGCATGCCTTGACTAGCGAATTGTCATTATTTTTAAGAAGACAGTGGGATGCATGTATTTGTAAGAAAAAATACACTTTAAGCGGATTATTAATAATTAATAACAAACAACATGGTTCAGTATAAGAGCGGCGGACTTTTGAGCAGGTATTGCAGTTAACGTTCTGACTACTATACGTATTGCAGTTAAAGTACACGACTAGAGCATTTGTGAACATTTTATGTTTTAAAGATGGCAAAGCAAAACCAATTTCTGCTTATCTTCGTCTATGTTATCATAGTAACCTGCCTGGGTAGCCCACGCAATACGAAGAAGTCAAATATCATTGGTGAAGCGGCAAATTTCATAACGAGTGCGACGTCGAAAATTTCAGGGAGTTCTGTGAGTAGTTTGGGTAAAACTATGGCAAGCGCCGCAGTCGGATACTATATGAGCCAAGTCGAATCCGGGCTCAGCATTGTGATTCTGAATAGTATGAGCACTCGTTATTTGGTGAATCAAAAGTTATTCCTGCTAAATGGAAAGACAGTTGGTCCGCCCGTATTGATTATTCCACCTGGAGCCAAAGATCAAAGTGAAGCCAAACTTCTATTCTTAGAGCGCTGCCCACAGGGGACCCTATGCTATGAGCTTTTGAGCTCTACAACACAGGCAAAATTAAAATTAGTCTGCTTATATTTCTATGCGTCTGCGGGGGAAAAAAATAAATTTTCTGTTACTACTTCTGATGATCTAAATATATTAAAAGAAACATCAGTCAAAACGGTGCTGGAAACCTTGACTTCGGATAGAACAATAGGGGAGAACATGGTGCTTTCTCCGTCAGGGTTACAATTTATTGCGATTGCACAGATGACAACAGGTGAAAACGCACGTTTCTTTTTCGAGATAAGGGATAACTTTAATTTGATTCAAAGCACTGCTTTAAAGCGCGAGTTGGTTTCAGCTTTGGCTGTGGGATTGGCTGTTGGTGCCGCATCTGCATTGGTCAGCGCAGCGAAGAAATACATGGCTACGAAATATGGAACTATTTTGACGCTGGACAATGTTTCAAATAACAATGATCCATTTATTCTCTACGATCCAATTTGGTAAGCAGGTAACTTGTTAGAGCCTCGATGCATGTGTAAGATAAATATTCCCACTGCTTTCTGAAATTGTATAACCCCGAGCCAATCGCCGTTCCGGGCGTAAGCCCGAGGCGAGGGTACTATTTCCGCCCGACACCCGGAAAACCAAAAGCATTAGCCAAGTCTAAAGTTCATCAATGATCGCGGGAGTGGGTGATCAACGGTGTACGAGTGTTGGGTGGGGGGTTATCCTCACTGATCTCAAAAATATGGCGGACTGTCATGAATAGCGAACACGAATTGGTCAAATTTAAAATTTGCATTATAACGACTGCATGACGATAGCGAAAAAGCAAACATTTCTTGATTTGATGATTTCTTGCAAATATATTTCATTTTTGCAAGATTTTGTGAATTTCAAAACCTTTCTAAGAAAGTAAAGGCGAAAGAATTGCAATAAAAGAAGGGAGTAAAGTCGCCGACGTTAACGAAGGTAGGTTTGTTTTAAATATTGATGTATTCTTCGCTTTATAATAGCTTTAGGGGAGTGGTCATTATTTATGGGGAGGGGGATTGGTAAATGCGGAAAATAAGGATTGAAGACTTTTTTGACCCCCTCCAAACTGAAGGAAAACTTTTTGTGTCTCCCATAAAAGTAAGAAATTTTTAAACCCCCAATTTTTAACAACAATGAAACATGTGTGCGTTGCAGGTAAAGTTAGATATTAGGACAATCTGTTTAATCTAGTTCAGAACCATCCTCAGAGATACGAAAAACTAGTTTCATATTAATCTGACACTGCAATCGACCAACGAAAAATTTGTTGGCTCGAGCGGGATTTGAACTCGCATCTTCGGGTATCTAGACCGCCACTCTACCCACTGAACTTTTGAGTCAACAGGGATTGGTAGAGAGTCTTGCACGAAATATTTTCGTAAGTGCACGAAATATTTTCGTGACGACCAACGCTTGTCTTAGAGGACGCGCAGTGTCTAGATACCCGAAGATGCGAGTTCAAATCCCGCTCGAGCCAACGAATTTTTTGTTGGTCGATTGCAGTGTCAGATTAATATGAAACCAGTTTTTCGTATCTCTGAGGATGGTTCTGAAATAGAATTGAAACACTGCGCGTTCTCTAAGACAAGCGTAAGTCGTCAAGAAATTATTTCGTGCACTTAAATTGGATAAGACTCGCTACAAATCCCTGTTGACTCGATAGCTCAATAGGTAGAGCGGCGGTCTAGATACCCGAAGATGTGAGTTCAAATCCCGCTCGAGCCAACGAATTTTTCGTTTTTTATTGCAGTGTCAGATTAATATGAAATATGTTTAATCTAACTCATGATCTTTTATCCTGGTGAATATGATTCAACCATATATGATTAAAATAGCTTAAAAAGATATATTATGTGTTACTATTTTGCAATGCAACATTTGTCCTACCATAACCCTAACCCATATATATTGCTTCATACAGCGGAAAAATTTTAAGAACTTGTCTGGGGGGGGGGCATCTACAAAAAGGGACCATACTATACTGAGTGTGAAGAGATGACAGCTGGATGTTGGTGACAAAAAGTTTGGCGTGGTATCGTATGTACTAGTAGGGGGGTCTGGGGGTTTTCTCCCCCAGAAATTGTTTTGTATTTTCCCACTCCAGGATTGAAATATGAACATTTTCTGAAGCAGATTTTTGGATATACAGCGTTACGTTGTGTTTGATAGACCGAATCTGATCAGTTAAGTGTATTTGCATGGTATGCTTATGTAAATACCACAACTGGGTCACTCAAGGGATAGGATGCTTGCTAAACTTAGTGGATCCGACTCCCACGAGGCGCAACTATGGTTGGCGCCAAACAGGGAAATTGTGAAAATTTTGAGTCTTTAGATCGTTGCAAAAGGCATTTCCCGAGTGTCCTTTTTTGCTATTTGTGATTATAGAAATCAGAACTCTAGACATGGTATTTAAGTTCAAAAACTTTTTGACCCCCCCCCC